AATGTAAGATGGTGCTTGTCCATGTAAGGCCCTATAGACCAGAACCAGGATCTTGAAATGAACCCTGAAGTTGACTGGCAGCCAGGGAAGCTGGAGGAGAAGCGGGGTGATGTGGGTGTGTTTGGAGGACTTGGTCAGAAGCCGAGCACAGGCGTTCTGAACCACCTGTAGACGGTTCAGGGAGGTTCTGCTCAGACACGTGAAAAGAGAGTTACAGTAGTCTAAGCGTGAGGAGATGAAGGTGTGGAGAACTGTCTCAAGTTCAGAGCGGGACAGAATGGGCCTCAGCTTAGCAATGTTCCTGAGATGGAAGAAGGAAGAGCCAACAAGAGAACTGACATGAGAATCCAGGGTGAGAGCTGGGTCAAAGGTCACGCCAAGATTCCTGATGGAAGGTTTGGTGTGGGAAGCAAGCTGACCAAGAGAGTCTCTGACTTTGGGAACCAGCTTGTCTGGGGCACAGATGAGGATCTCAGTCTTATCTTCATTCAGCTGAAGAAAGCTCCCACCGTCCAGGTTCTGATAGAGTCTAAGCAGGTGTGTAACAGCTGCAGCTTAGACATCTCATGGGGCTTAAAGGAGATGTACAGTTGGAGTCATCTCCATAAAGATGGTAGGAGATTCCTTGAAGGAGCTCGGGATATGCTGAAGAGGAAGCAGATAGAGGAGGAAGAGCAGAGGCCCCAGCACAGAACCTTGTGGGACACCATGGGTAAGAGAGGTGGTGGAGGACCTAAACTTGGAGACGGCCACAGAAAAGGAGCGCTCAGAGAGATAAGAGGAGAACCACTCCAGAGCAGATCCTGATAGGCCTACCCAGTCTCTCAGACTCTCCAGTAGCAGGTGATGGTCAACAGTGTCAAAGGCTGCAGTCAGGTACAGCAGGACCAGAAACATAACCCTGCATCACTGTGGGTCAGAAGGTCATTAGAGACCCTAGAAAGAGCTGTTTCAGTAGAATGAGCTCTACGAAAACCTGACTGGAAGCTATCATAGATGTTATGTTCATCAAGAGCAGCTGTGAGTTGTTTATGATAAATGACCCGCATTTGTATATCGCCTCTCAGAGTAAGGACTCCAAAAGGCTTTACACTACAGTGTATCATTCATCCATTCACACACACATTCATACACTGATGGTGATGAGCTACGATGTAGCCACAGCTGCCCTGGGGCGCACTGACAGAGGCGAGGCTGCCGAGCACAGGCGCCACCGGTCCCTCCGACCACCACCAGCAGGCAAGGTGGGTTAAATGTCTTGCCCAAGGACACAACAGCAGAATTCTCTGTCCGGAGCCGGGATCGAACCTGCAACCTTCCGATTACTGGACAACCCGCTCAACCTGTTGAGCTACTGCTGCCCTTTAGCCACAACCTTTTGCAAGATCTTGGAGATGAAGGGAAGTTTAGAGATGGGTCTGAAGCTGCTATGGAGAGAGGGGTCGAGACTCGGTTTTGTAAGAAGCGGGTGGATTACAGCGTTCTTAAAGTCAGCAGGGACCTGACCAGAGACCAGAGAAGCATTAATTATAGAGAGCACGCTGGGACCGATGGACTGAAAAGCACTTTTAAACAAAGATGAGGGTAAGATGTGGAGGGGGCATGCAGAGGTCTTCATAGAGTTAACTAGTTTGGTTAACTCAGGCAAAGAAACAGGAGCAAAGCTATCTAGGATGATGGGCCTGGTTGGAGTCGGGAGAAGCGGTGATGAGGCTGAAGGAGAGATGCTAGATCTAACCTTATTGACTTTGTCCACAAAGAAAGACAGAAAGTTCTCACAGTCTGCAACAGAGTGGATGGAGGCTGTAGGAGAGGCAGGAGAGACGATGCTGCTGATGGTGGTAAACAGCACCTTGGGGTTCCCTTTGCTCTGGGACACCAGGTTGGAGAAATAGGAAACCCTGGCGTCTCTGACTGCAGAGTTAAAGGATGTCAGAAGATCCTTTAGGTGCAGCAGAGTGACGTGGAGATGGGTTTTCTTCCACAAACGCTCAATTTTTCTGCATTGGCGCTTCAGGCTGCGAAGGCTGTCATTAAACCAGGGAGTAGGGTTCACTGCAGGAACTGATCTGGTTCTGACAGGACAGATGTTGTCCAGAATGGAGAGGCAGTGCTCGTTAAACTGAGAAGTTAAGGAATCTGGGTCGTTATCAGAAGAACAGGGTGGATCAAAAGCAGCAGAAAAATTGCTAGCTGTGCTCTCATTAAGAAAACGAGAACTAACCATACGGCGAGCAGGAGGTGGGGACGGAGAAACTGACAAGTTAAAGAAAATGCAATGGTGATCTGAAATATAAACTTCCTCAGGACAAACACTGTCAGCATTTAGACTCAGGGTAAAAACAAGGTCTAGAGTGTGCCCCCTGGTGTGTGGGGGGCCAGAAACATGCTGGGTAAAGCTGAAGGAGTCCATAAGGCTGGAGAAATTCATGGCAAAGAGATCGGAGGAATCATCAACGTGGATGTTAAAGTCACCAACAATCACCAGTCTGGACAGCTTCACAGTGGAGGATAGAAAGTCACTAAACTCCTAAAGGAAAGAACCGTTTGGACCAGGTGGACGATAGACCACAGCTCAGTAGAGCGGGTCCTTACGCCCGACTTTAATCAGCTGCAGTTCAAAGGAAGCAAAGTGACCAGAGGTTGTAGAGCTACATGGAAGATGGTCTCTGAAAACAAAAGCTAGGCCTCCACCAAGACCAGAACCTCGGGGTTGGCTAAGAAAAGAATAACCACTCGGGCAGAGTTCAATCAGAGCAGAATAATCAGATGTTTGCTGCCAAACTTCAGTCAGAAACAGAAAATCCAGGTTTTTAGACAGAATTAGATCATTGAGCAGGAAGGACTTATTGTTAACAGAGCGGGTGTTTAATAGAGCCATGCTGAGTGAGGTGGAGGAATCAGAAACTACAGAAACAGCTGGAGTTAGTGGACGTAAATTAGCAGGGTTAGATCCACGGTGTTTATAAAAACCACTTATGGAGGGAACAGGAGGAGAAACCACTGAGGAATGAGGATAAACCGACCTTAAAAAACTTGGACGGATGAACCGCGTTGCAACGCAGCCTAGCGGGAATGCGGAAGTGGCGCTCAGGTCGCCAAACAAAGGACAAGAAGCTAGAAGATCGTGCCGATGTTTACCAGATAAACCACGCTTTAAGAGAAGTCTTATTCTCAACTGGATTCCTGCTCGTTTACCTCTTTTCCTCCGACGTTTTCCCGGGACCGGATAAACATGCTAGAGGTGCGCAGCTCTGGATCGTCGATTGTTTACCTGAGCGGCGCACTGGCCCGGAAGCAAACAGGATGGTAAATCCTCTGTGCATCATGGGCGATCGTGAACGAATGGAAGGACAAAACAATCTGGCGATCATAGGAGATGGAAGCAGGGACACTACTGAAGAAGATCGCAGACAGGAGCAAGGTGGAAAAGAGGAGGTTAGTGGAGAACAGTTTGAAAAAGTGGCCGGTGACCGCGGCTAAGCCAAGCACAGGCGCCATCTTGTTGCCGACCAGAACCAACTTGCCAAGTCCGGGTCGGGGGAGAGGTCCTTCCTCAAGTGGAGGAGTTTACGTATCTCGGGGTCTTGTTCACGAGTGAGGGTAGGAGGGATCGGGAGATCGACAGGCGGATTGGTTCAGCGTCTGCAGTGATATGGATTCTGAGCTGATCTGTCGTGGTGAAGAGGGAGCTGAGCCAGAAAGCCAGGCTCTCGATTTACCGGTCGATCTACGTCCCAATCCTCACCTATGGTCATGAGCTTTGGGTAATGACCGAAAGAACGCAATCGCGGATACAAGCGGCCGAAATGAGTTTGCTCCGTAGGGTGGCCGGGCTCAGCCTTAGAGATAGGGTGAGGAGCTCGGACATTCGGGAGGGACTCGGAGTAGAACCGCTGCTCCTCCAGATCGAAAGGAGCCAGTTGAGGTGGTTTGGGCATCTGGTCAGGATGCCTCCTGGACGCCTCCCCGGGGAGGTGTTTCGGGCATGTCCTGCCGGCAGGAGGCCCCCGGCTCGACCGTGGACACGTTGGAGAGGTTACATCTCCAATCTGGTCCGGGAACGCCTTGGGGTCCTGCCGGAGGAGCTGGTGGAGGTGGCCAGGGACGGTCTGGAGCTCCCTAGTTGGGATGCTGCCCCCGCGACCCGGACCCGGATAAGCGGAGGAAGACGATGACGACGACTTTTGTTGCCCAAGTGTGAATAAATTAAAATTCTGTGGGTGTCCTCCCTGACTTTGTCCCCTTGGAAGCAGCATTAAGCTCTCTCCCTGAAGCAGAAAGCTTTCACTGCCTACACCTAGCAACTATTTACGCATGATTTTGTCATTTGGTGAACCAATTGTGAGTGATTCTGTGACTGGGTGACTGGGTTTGTATCTCAGCCTATAGATATAGCTTGGTCTTGTTTTTTCTGACTCTCGAGTCCTAGCTTACAGTGAAAAGCAGCAAGATCTGACAGAGAACGCCATTGGCAGAAATTCGCTCTACATCTGCCACAGATCAAATGCGCAAAAGCACCTTTATCTTGGCATGAATTCTTTACCTTAAATTTCCCACTTTTACTTGGATATACATGTTAAATCACAACTTTTATTTAGCTTAAAGCCTCCTTTGTCAAAACAACCTGTAATCATAATGCTAAGTGGTTTTCTGGTTGCATAATAACAGGAGCAATGTGAAAGCGCACCATAACGCGTGGATTGACTCCAGAGGGTTAATTATACCTGCCACAGATCTCTTACACCTGTTGCATGAATATTTTTGATAATTTAGAGTCTCATTGTTTGACTGATTTTTTCGGATGAACTGTTTCTATAAGTTTTGACATGAGCTCTGGACCAGAGTCACATATGCACCCACAGCAAAGCCACTGTTATTAAAAACGCGAAAACATGTGTCCTGCATCGGAGCTGCATGCGTGACACTTGTTCAGAGTTTAAGGTGTTACGGTTGATTTAACACGCTGACACTTCAACACCTCTGTCAAAGACTGGGAGCTCGACCGATCCAAGATGGCGGCGCCACCGCTCATTAACGCCCTAGGCAGTAGCGGTCACGTGGGGTCTATGGATTTTCGCCTGTTTTATTGTGGAAGGGTCGGCCCGGATGCTGGGGTGACGCAGCGCTCTCCGGTTGTGTTGCGGCGGCGAGTCTGTCTTCAGTCTCTCGCTGCCGTCGGACACATCGGAATGATGGACCCCTGCTCCTTCACCTGTTTCTCCAGGTGTTCCACCAAACACCTGAACCTGTTCCTGCACGTGGACTTCGATGAGCGCGTGATCAGAGGAAAAGTGCAGTTGACGGTGGAAGCACTCGAGGACCGCTTCTCTGTTCTGGTAACGTAACGGACCTCCGGTCACCTGCGGTACCGGTTCTGTTAGCCTGGAGCTAACCCTAAAGCCGCTCAAAGTTACCCGGAGTCCGGTCTGTCAGTTTACCCCACACTTTAGTTCGGTTCTGGTTCTGATCTACAGCCGACCGACGGCGGCTCGGCTGTGACAAACCGCGGGTGTCTGGTCGGCTCGGACATGAGTCGGTGTTTAACTTTGTTCGGTAAAGTCCGGTGACAGCGTCGCTAAACCGCCTCTGTGGGACGGATCTGAAATGAGCCGCACTTGTAGAGCCTTTCAGAGCCAGAGGACTCCAAAGCGCTCTACATAAGTGTAACATTCACCCATTCACACCCTGTGACAGGGTGAATGAGCTACAGTGTAGCCACAGCTGCCCAGGGGCGCGCTGAGGGCGTGAGGCAGCTGAACACAGGCGCACCCGGTCCCTCCGACCACCACCGGCAGGTAAGGTGGGCTACCCTAACTCAAAGCTGGAATCGAACCTGCAACCTTCCATTTACCTCCTGGGCTACTCCACCGGAAATGGGCAGCCTCACTAGGATTGAATGGAATGAAGAATGATTTGGTTTCTTCCATCCAGAGATGAGTCGTGAGCGAGCTCCAGGATTCCTGACCGACGTCTACACGTGCTCACCGGTCGTAGTGGTGGGAACCGCGTCGTAGTGGTGGGAACCGCGTCGTAGTGGTGGGATCCGCGTCGTAGTGGTGGGAACCGCGTCGTAGTGGTGGGAACCGCGTCGTAGTGGTGGGATCCGCGTCGTAGTGGTGGGATCCGCGTCGTAGTGGTGGGAACCGCGTCGTAGTGGTGGGATCCGCGTCGTAGTGGTGGGAACCGCGGCTCGTAAGAGAACCGCTGGCTCACTAAAATTAACCGACTCTCAAACGGCTCCGCACATGTTTGTGTTTTGAAGTAATTTATCCACCAGGGACACGTTAATTTTAAAACAAGGGGAGCTTTTCCGGGCACGTCCAACCAGGAGGAGGTCCAAAGGGAGACCCGGGACACGCTGGAGGGACTATGTCTCTCAGCGGGCCAGGGAACGCCTTGGGATTCCCCGGAGGAGCTGGCCCAAGTGGCTGGGGAGAGGGAAGTCTGGGCTGTTGCCCGGCGACCGGACTCCAGATAAGCGGAGGAGAATGGACGGATGAATTCATCACCAAATGATGTAAAGAGCGTGTGAAATTATCTACAAACACATTAAATCTACTTTATTGCTTAAAGGGCCGGTGACCTCTGGATGAACCTGTGTTGCTGATAACCTGCACAGATGAGTGTGTAATGGTGCTGCACACGTGTGTAATCATTAGTGTGGCAGTTTGGTGCATCTTACATTAAATGTAATAATTCAGCCCAAAACCGTAATTCTGTCTCCATCTTCAGGTTAAACTCTGCTCCACATTCATGTAGAACCAGCTGTGGCTGATGGCTACGCTGAAAAACGTTGTCAGCAGGTTACTACGTGGCTGCACTGGTCTCCAGGTGAGGCAGCCGCACCTCCACCTGGCTCGGCCACTCACCTGCAGATATGATCCCTCATGAAGTTCCTGCTTTACACCAGAAAATGGTGCAGATGTGTAACTTCAGTAGTCTGAGCAACACTATTGGTGTTTATATTCTGAGTTTTTAGAGCTTTAAAAGCTCTAAAAGCCCTAACCCAGCACACATGGGGCCAATGCTAGAGGGGAAGACAGGCCTGGTCGTTGTTGACTCTCTTTGTCTGGTAATGGCCGACTGATGAAGATATTCTCTCATCCAGTCAGGAAGAGTGGCGCTGCTGCGCAGAGCAACAGAGAGTCTGTGCTGCACATGGACAAAGTTAAAGGAGCTAAAGCGTTCCACACGCCCTTCCGAAGCTCCCTCACCGTGTTCGGGACTTGGTGCACATAGAAAACACTGCTAATGATGACAGACGTAGCACGAATGCATAAAAAAGCCATAAAAACGGCAGACGCGTGAAGTATGGAGGTCGAAAAGTGCCACATAATTAAATAAGTATTGTCCCAACCATCTGTGGTCCAGACGGGGATCTTGTCTCGGACCTTGGAACGTCAACCCTGGAGAGAAATATCTGACCAATATGGCTAGAAAGCTTTAGTTTTGAGTGAGTCCAGTGTAAATATAAAACACACACGTGTGTGTGTGTGTGTGTGTGTGTGCAGCTACAGCTGTTGGATGAACTCTTAATGTGTTATTTTTAATAATGCCCTAGGTTCGTGTTCCCATAGCAGTCCACTGATGGAGTTATTGACACGTCTCCCTTCCTCTGGGGCTGACCTGGACCTGGTTGCTAATTCTGGTGACAGCATGTTTGTGACATCACCATTTGGACTGAAGGATTGGGCCAATCAGCCTTTTTAAATGGCCAATATTTCATTTATTTGGCGATCCAATCAGATCGAGATAATGGATTCTAATTCTTCAGAATCAAGTTGATTCCTGAAATTTGAATCGATGCCCAGCTCTTCAGTACGGAGACACGCTACGCCGTTATCCGTCCTTGCTAGGGCTCTCCAGCAGGCTCACCAGGACGGGCGGAGTAGAGCCCACTTTTCTAAATATCCATCAGGTGAGATGAAGAACGCAAGCTTGTGGTTGGTCAGGACGCCGCTGACGTCTACAGCACCGCCACTGCTCAAATACACAGAGAGCCGAGGATATCTAGCGGCAGAGATGGAGCAGCTGAAGAATACTTCATGCTAAAGCTCTAAAAATACGATTGTTTCCTCTACCAGTTACTGGAGGAGTGAAAGTACGCAGCAAGCGTTTTATTCGTGGACATAAGTGACGGCAAACGTGGGTTTAGAGGTGGCGAGGTCTCTGTCCGGGCGTGTCTCCCCCTCGCGGAGCTGGAGAACAGGTATAGGCTTAAGCCTTCGTTCACATCAGACGCAGAAGCAAAGATCCTTCCATAAGGGCCAAGAAAGGCCGGCCTCTAGTCGAGTAGTGCACCTGTGGAGCGACTAGTCAGTCGCTGTGATGGCGAGTGTAGTGAAGGGTTGTAACGAGTGAGGAAGTCAGACCGATAGCTTGGAGCACAGCCCTGCAGAGACTCCAAATCAAACTCTGAAAGGAACTGGAAGCCAGTGAAGATGTGATGAGTTCCTGCGTTCTGGTGCTGGTCCGGTATCTAGCTGCAGCCCGGCTAGTGCAGCCAGCTAACTCCTGAGTAAAGGGAGTTGTAGCGGTAGTGAAGTAATGTAGACTACTGTCTCACTAGCAGCGGTCCTGGATAGGCAGCGCAGACGGGCAGCTGGATCTAACTCCAGTCAAACGCAGAACTTAAGGTCTGGTCTTTCATTTAAAAGCAGAGAAATGTTAAGATTTGATACTTTGATGAGTTCTGTCCTCTAACCCTAACCCATATGGGATCATTTGGTCCAGCCCTACAGACAGGTGTGGTTACCTGTCGTGGGCGCCTGTTCTCAGGTCATTTCCAGAACACTTGGTGGTAAACAGGTCAGTAAACATTTAGTGTAGGCGTTTCTGGAGCAGTGTTGGCATGTGGACCTTGTCCCGTAGGACGGGGGACAGAGTCTATCAGCAGCAGGTAGCGCTGACTCAACAGGTGTGATGAAACATCTTCTACTCGCTGCAGACTTTGGACACCAGAGACCTGAACATCAAGACTGTGTCTGTCAACCAGCAGCCAGCCCGCTTTGCTCTGGGAGACAAGCACAGCTTCAAGGGGACACCACTGGACATCACGCTGCCCTTTGACCTGTCCAGGTAACCTGAGCTCCTGTTTGCCAACTTTTCCCACTGTTTGTTGAACGTAACCAGCATGTCTGTCTGGACCAATCAGGGGCCAGCATGTCATCGTGGAGGTCACCTACCAAACGTCTCCATCAGCATCGGCACTGCAGTGGCTCTCACCTGAGCAGACCGCCGGGAAGGAACAGCCATACCTGTTCAGCCAGTGTCAGGTGACTCACCTGTCAGAACTCAGTGAGGGTTTAAAAACACACAATGCGTTCCAACACTGCCCCCTGTAGAGGTGATGGGGCTCTGCAGCAGCACCTGAGCAGCCTGACTAGTAGTTTCCAGGTAGGGTTCACCTGGATGAGCTGATGGACGCTGGTATTTCTGCTAGAAAGGTGCCAGATGGACAGCACATGGTGCAAGACCTGCTTCCTTCCTCTGTTCTGATGTTTAGAAACTTTGGAGATTTTGCTGTTTGCATCACTTCCTGTTTCTGAACCAGTTTCGTCTCGCTGACTAAAGTACAGCACGTTGCTGTTTGAGTTCATATGAAGAAACCAGTCAGACCAGGACGTCCTCTGATGGGTCTGCTGCTGAAGCTCCTCCGTCATCCAGGTCCTTGGCTGGATGACGGCTCCAGGTTAACGAGGGAACTCCACGTGTTCCCGTTAGAAGTGACAAAGCAAAATGTCTTAAGAGACAGAAGTCCAGTTGTCCTCGTTTGAGCCTGCTACAGTCCTCTGATCATACTCAGCTGTGCCCTGCGTTTCGTCTGACAGGCGCACCACTGCAGGAGCATGATCCCCTGTCAGGACAGTCCTTCCATCAAACACACCTACTACGCCCAGGTAACCAACCTCCTCAGGTGCGACACATCTGTAGTTTGAAGTGTGTCTCAGGTTGGTCTCTTCACTTGTCCCCCAGGTGTCTGTCCCCAAGGACTTGGTGGCGGTGATGAGTGCTGTGAGAGACGGGCAGAAGGTAGATCCTCAGGACAGTGGTCGGATCATCTACAAGTTCAGACAGCCAGTAGGTGTCTTCTCCCTAAAGATAACCGCACCTGACCTCAGGTGTGACTGGTTTTTCTGCCTGACCCCTGTCCTCAGGTACCCATGCCTTCCTACCTGATCGCCATCGTGGTTGGAGCTCTGGAGAGCAGGTAGTGTCCGTCTCACCGATTTTCTGACTTAACCTGGCCACCTATGCAGGTGCTAGCATCTGTCCTCTGATTGGTTGACAGGCAGATTGGCCCGAGGTCCAGAGTCTGGTGTGAGAAGGAGTTTGTGGATAAAGCAGCGTTTGAGTTTTCTGAGGTGCGTCACCATGGCAACTAGTGGTGCGACGGATCAAAAGTGGCACGGTTCGGATCGTATCACGGTTCTCAGTCACGGATCGGTTCGTCGTTCGGATCAGCAGACTAAAGGCAGGAGTTTCAGAGGTCTGATTGCTGATTAAATGTTAAAACGGCTTGCCCTACAAGGTGACGGTCTCTCCTCGCTGTTTATTTTTCGTTGGTCCTCTTTAACAGGTTTGTCCAACAGCAGTTACAGGTCCCACCGTGTTTGTGTTCAAGCCCCTCCCTGCTTTCACAGGTGTGAGTGCGGCGCGGGTCAGGCTCAGGTTACCGTCGGTATCATTGTTGTGTTTTACAGGGGAGCCTAAACGCTCCCGAACACGCCACCTAGACGATGCAGGTGTCTCTCCTCCGCCGCCATGACCACCGCTGTGCGTTTCTCCTTTGGACGGAACAGGTAGCGCCTCCGTCCTCCACGTGAGCCACCCTCCAACCGCGTGCACGCCGAACCGTAGAGATGACGATGATCCGTTGCACCCTTAATGGCAACCGTTCCTTTCTGTTCCTGTCACTTACCTGATGGACTCACCTGTCCTGGTGTCCACTTGTCCGTTAGACGGAGACCATGCTGAAGACAGCAGAGGACCTGGCCGGGCCGTATGTGTGGGGTCAGTACGACATCCTGGTTCTGCCCCCCTCCTTTCCATACGGGGGCATGGAGAACCCCTGTCTCACTTTTGCCACGCCCACTCTGCTGGTAAACACACACCTTGAGCTCACCTGTTGCTGACTCATGTGACCATGCTGTTGATCAGCTGTTTCCTGTCTCTCTTCTCAGGCTGGAGACAGGTCTCTGTCTAACGTGAGTAGAACCCCTGGCCCCGCCCCCTCACCTGCAGCATCACCTGTTACAGGTGTGTTCATGTCTGTTGTCGTGTCTCTCAGGTGATCGCCCACGAGATCTCCCACAGCTGGACCGGCAACCTGGTGACAAACAAGACCTGGGAACACTTCTGGTACCTTACCAAACGTGAGTTCTGCTCCGACCCACCGGTCCGGTCTCACATCCAGGTGTTCCTGTCCCTTCAGGCTGAACGAGGGTCACACGGTCTACCTGGAGAGGATGATAGGCAGGTGTATGGAAGGGGAACCCTTCAGACAGTTTAAAGCCATGGGGGGCTGGAAGGAGCTGCAGGACTCGGTGAGAACCTGCTTCAGATTCTGTGATTTGGTTCCCTCACCTGTTGCCTCACCTGTGCATTACATCTTCAGGTGAACACTTTTGGAGCCAACAACCCTTTGACCAACCTGGTCCCCAGTCTGCAGGACGTGGATCCAGATGACGCCTTCTCCTCGGTCCCGTATGAGAAGGGCTTTGCTCTGCTGTACCACCTGGAGGAGCTTATGGGAGGACCAGGTAAATCCTTACATTCCTGTTCACACCTGTTCTGGATCCTGAGCTGATGCACCTACTGGTCGTCTCTCCCAGAGGTCTTCATGGGTTTTGTGAAGTCCTACATTCAGCTCTTCGCCTACAGCAGCGTCACCACGGATGACTGGAAGAACTACCTTTTCTCCTACTTTAAGAATAAGGTGAGGAACACCTGGACTCAGGTGACTCAGAATGCAGTCCATGGTAGTGACCTAACACACTTTCTCTCAGGTGGATGTTCTGAACCAAGTGGACTGGAATGCCTGGATGTTTACTCCTGGGATGCCACCTGTCCAACCTCAGTAGGTGTATCTGGGTAGACCCCCGTGTGGTCTGTTAGAGCTTTCTTCTGATTGGTTGTTGTGTTGCAGGTATGATACAACGCTGGCCGACACCTGCATCGCTCTGAGTCAGAGGTGGCTCCAGGTGAGAACTGGTCCTGGTCTGGATCTTCTCTAGTTGGTGTTCTGGATTCAGAGTCTAGTTTTTGTTGCCCTTCAGGCCAAAGAGCAGGACCTGAGCAGCTTCCAGGAGTCGGACGTGGCCGCGCTGTCGTCCCATCAGCTGATCGAGTTCCTGTCGCTGCTGCTCCAGGGGGTAGGGTAGGGTGGGGTGTCCTGTGCACCTGGACTGACTGATGTTTAGGGTTGAGCCGCGATTGGAACTGGGACTAATTGTCAGGTTTCCCGGAATGATTCAGAACTTTAAAATCAGACTCCTAGTGTTGGTGCCCGGGCCGTCGACTGTAAGAAATTGACAGACGCCAACAAAGAAGAATCCGCCAGAAGTGAAATCATAGAAAATGTGCAGAAGCATGGCTTCGGCCACCAACCAAAACCCGTCCATTTCCGTGGGAAAAGGCAGAGAAACGTCACAACTTTAGTGCGTTTGGTGTGAGAGCTCGGATGTTTTAGATCTGCTGGATGGTTGGTGGCAGCAGCAACATTCCTTCAGACTGAGGCGTTGCTGCTGCCCTCATCCAGGAGCTCCTCCAGCTCTGAGCTTCGGGTTGAGTCATGCTGCAGGGATGTAGAACCTTGTGGCTGATCCGTTTGATTGGGATCGGTGGTGGAGCGTCTGTAGCGGCTTGTAGAAGGTTCATAGAATAAGACTTGGAGGTCAGACCCTTCCATCGGGCTCAATTACAGCAAAGGTTTTGGGCCCAACCCAACTGGTGTTTGGCTTGTTTCAGGACCCCCTCCCTCTGACTCATGTGAAGAAGATGCAGGAGGTCTACAACCTCAATGCCTTTAAGAACTCAGAAATCTGCTTCAGGTGAACAGTTGGCTGCTTTTGCTGAAGCTCCTCCCTCTCTTTGTGAGGCCGTGTACTGATTGGCTGCTGTTTTTCAGATGGTTGAAGTTGTGTGTTCGGTCCAAATGGGAGGAAGCTGTTCCTCTGGCGCTAAAGATGGCGACCGAGCAGGGCAGGATGAAGTTCACCCGGCCTCTCTTCAGGTGTGTAGGTGGACCCGGATCTCTGCACACTGCTGAAACCATCTGACTGGAGCTTTGTGTCTTCTCAGGGAGGTCTTTCACTTTGACAAATACAAAGAAGAAGCTGTCCAGGTGTTCAAGGCTCATCGGGCGGCCATGCACCCAGTCACCTCCGCCCTCATCGCCAAAGACCTGAAGGTGGAGGCCAGCAGCAGTGGTCAGTAGGAGGAGTCCTCAACCATCACTGCTTTGTTGTCATGGTTGGAACCAGTTCCTGCAGAAATAAACTCTGACCTGAACTTGGACTCGTTTCTCGGCTGGTGTATTAAACCGACTGTAGGAAGATGTTTCATGCCCTCCTGACACTGGATGGTTTCCATTTAAAGCTTTTAAGTTGGGATTTTACTTGAAAAATGAAAAGAGTTTGTGTATCAGGATCAATGGTCAGTACCATCAGTTATCAGGATCCATAATCAGTATCAGTTATCAGGATCAATAATCAGTACCATCAGTTAACAGGATCAATAATCAGTGTCATCAGCTATCAGGATCAATAATCAGTACCATTAGTTATCAGGATCAATAATCAATGCCATCAGGATCAATAATCAGTATCAGTTATCAGGATCAATAATCAGTACCATCAGTTAACAGGACCAATAATCAGTGTCATCAGTTATCAGGATCAATAATCAGTACCATCAGTTATCAGGATCAATCACCAATGCCATCAGCTGTCAGGATCAATAATCACTACCTTCAGCTATCAGGATCAATAATCAGTACCATCAGGGTCAATAATCAATGCCATCAGCTATCAGGATAAATAATCAGTGCCATCAGCTATCAGGATCAATAATCAGTACCATCAGGGTCAATAATCAATGCCATCAGCTATCAGGATCAATAATCAGTGCCATCAGTTATCAGGATCAATAATCAGTACTATCAGTTATCAGGATCAATAATCAGTACCATCAGCTATCAGGATCAATAGTACCATTAGGATCAATAATCAATGCCATCAGATATCAGGATCAATAACTGGTACCATCAGCTATCAGGATCAATAACTGGTACCATCAGTTATCAGGATCAATAGTACCATCAGGATCAATAATCAGTGGCATCAGCTATCAGGATCAGTAATCGGTACAATCAATTATCAGGATCAATAATCAGTACCATCAGTTATCAGGATCAATAATCAGTACCATCAGCTATCAGGATCAATAATCCGTGCCATCAGTTATCTGGATCAATAGTCAGTTCCATCAGCTATCAGGATCAGTAATCCGTTCCATCAGTTATCAGAATCAATAATCAGCTATCAGGATCAATAATCAGTGCCATCAGCTATCAGGATCAATAATCAGTACCATCAGTTATCAGGATCAATAGTCAGTACCATCAGGATCAATAATCAATGCCATCAGTTATCAGGATCAATAGTCAGTACCATCAGGGTCAATAATCAGTGCCGTCAGCTATCAGGATCAATAATCAGTACCATCAGTTATCAGGATCAATTGTCAGTACCATCAGGATCAATAATCAATGCCATCAGTTATCAGGATCAATAATCGGTACCATCAGTCATCAGGATCAATAATCAGTACCATCAGTTATCAGGGTCAATAATCAGTACCATCGGCTATCAGGATCAATAATCCGTGCCTTCAGTTATCAGGATCAATGGTCAGTACCATCAGCTATCAGGATCAGTAATCCGTGCCATCAGTTATCAGGATCAATAATCCGTGCCATCAGTTATCAGGATCAATAATCAGCTATCAGGATCAATAATCAGTGCCATCAGCTATCAGGATCAATAATCAGCTATCAGGATCAATAATCAGTACCATCAGTTATCAGGATCAATAATCAGCTATCAGGATCAATAATCAGTACCATCAGCTATCAGGATCAATAATCAGCTATCAGGATCAATAATCAGTGCCATCAGCTATCAGGATCAATAATCAGCTATCAGGATCAATAATCAGTACCATCAGTTATCAGGATCAATAATCAGCTATCAGGATCAATAATCAGTACCATCAGTTAGCTAACACTCAGTATCGTCAGCTATCAGGATCAATAATCAGTACCATCAGTTATCAGGATCAATTGTCAGTACCATCAGGATCAATAATCAATGCCATCAGTTATCAGGATCAATAATCGGTACCATCAGTCATCAGGATCAATAATCAGTACCATCAGTTATCAGGGTCAATAATCAGTACCATCGGCTATCAGGATCAATAATCCGTGCCTTCAGTTATCAGGATCAATGGTCAGTACCATCAGCTATCAGGATCAGTAATCCGTGCCATCAGTTATCAGGATCAATAATCAGCTATCAGGATCAATAATCAGTGCCATCAGCTATCAGGATCAATAATCAGCTATCAGGATCAATAATCAGTACCATCAGTTATCAGGATCAATAATCAGCTATCAGGATCAATAATCAGTGCCATCAGCTAACAGGATCAATAATCAGTACCATCAGTTAGCTAACACTCAGTACCATCAGTTATCAGGATCAATAATCAGCTATCAGGATCAATAATCAGTACCATCAGTTAGCTAACACTCAGTATCGTCAGCTATCAGGATCAATAATCAGTACCATCAGTTATCAGGATCAATAATCAGCTATCAGGATCAATAATCAGTACCATCAGTTAGCTAACACTCAGTATCGTCAGCTATCAGGATCAATAATCAGTACCATCAGTTATCAGGATCAATAATCAGCTATCAGGATCAATAATCAGTGCCATCAGCTAACAGGATCAATAATCAGTACCATCAGTTAGCTAACACTCAGTACCATCAGTTGGCCAATAATCAGTACCATCAGTTATCAGGATCAATAATCAGTATCATCAGCTTTCAGGATCAATAGTCAGCTATCAGGATCAATAATCAGTACCATCAGCTATCAGGATCAATAATCAGTACCATCAGCTATCAGGATCAATAATCAGTGCCATCAGCTAACAGGATCAATAATCAGTACCATCAGTTAGCTAACACTCAGTACCATCAGTTGGCCAATAATCAGTACCATCAGTTATCAGGATCAATAATCAGTATCATCAGCTTTCAGGATCAATAGTCAGCTATCAGGATCAATAATCAGTATCATCAGCTATCAGGATCAATAATCAGTACCATCAGCTATCAGGATCAATAATCAGTGCCATCAGTTATCAGGATCAATAATCAGCTATCAGGATCAATAATCAGGTATCAGGATCAATAATCAGGTATCAGGATCAATAATCAGTACCATCAGCTATCAGGATCAATAATCAGTGCCATCAGTTATCAGGATCAATAATCAGCTATCATGATCAATAATCAGGTATCAGGATCAATAATCAGGTATCAGGATCAATAATCAGTGCCATCAGCTATCAGGATCAATAATCAGTACCATCAGTTAGCTAACACTCAGTACCATCAGTTATCAGGATCAATAATCAGCTATCAGGATCAATAATCAGTACCATCAGTTAGCTAACACTCAGTATCGTCAGCTATCAGGATCAATAATCAGTACCATCAGTTATCAGGATCAATAATCAGCTATCAGGATCAATAATCAGTACCATCAGTTAGCTAACACTCAGTATCTTCAGCTATCAGGATCAATAATCAGTACCATCAGTTATCAGGATCAATAATCAGCTATCAGGATCAATAATCAGTGCCATCAGCTAACAGGATCAATAATCAGTACCATCAGTTAGCTAACACTCAGTACCATCAGTTGGCCAATAATCAGTACCATCAGTTATCAGGATCAATAATCAGTATCATCAGCTTTCAGGATCAATAGTCAGCTATCAGGATCAATAATCAGTACCATCAGCTATCAGGATCAATAATCAGTACCATCAGCTATCAGGATCAATAATCAGTGCCATCAGCTAACAGGATCAATAATCAGTACCATCAGTTAGCTAACACTCAGTACCATCAGTTGGCCAATAATCAGTACCATCAGTTATCAGGATCAATAATCAGTATCATCAGCTTTCAGGATCAATAGTCAGCTATCAGGATCAATAATCAGTACCATCAGCTATCAGGATCAATAATCAGTACCATCAGCTATCAGGATCAATAATCAGTGCCATCAGTTATCAGGATCAATAATCAGCTATCAGGATCAATAATCAGGTATCAGGATTAATAATCAGGTATCAGGATCAATAATCAGTACCATCAGCTATCAGGATCAATAATCAGTGCCATCAGTTATCAGGATCAATAATCAGCTATCATGATCAATAATCAGGTATCAGGATCAATAATCAGGTATCAGGATCAATAATCAGGTATCAGGATCAATAATCAGTACCATCAGCTATCAGGATCAATAATCAGTGCCATCAGTTATCAGGATCAATAATCAGCTATCATGATCAATAATCAGTTATCAGGATCAATAATCAGTTATCAGGATCAATAATCAGCTATCATGATCAATAATCAGGTATCAGGATCAATAATCAGGTATCAGGATCAATAATCAGGTATCAGGATCAATAATCAGTACCATCAGCTATCAGGATCAATAATCAGTGCCATCAGTTATCAGGATCAATAATCAGCTATCATGATCAATAATCAGTTATCAGGATCAATAATCAGCTATCATGATCAATAATCAGGTATCAGGATCAATAATCAGTGCCATCAGCTATCAGGATCAATAATCAGTGCCATCAGTTATCAGGATCAATAATCAGCTATCATGATCAATAATCAGGTATCAGGATCAATAATCAGTGCCATCAGTTATCAGGATCAATAATCAGCTATCATGATCAATAATCAGGTATCAGGATCAATAATCAGTGCCATCAGCTATCAGGATCAATAATCAGTACCATCGGCTGCTCAAGTCGTGGGAGAAAGTGTGGACCTGACTGGTGCAGCAGTGGTGAGAGGGTGACCCTTGTGTGGCCTGTAGAACTTCCCCCCAAGGTGCTGTACAACAGTCATGCACCCCCTAGTGGGGATGAGCTACATCATAGCTGCAGCTGCCCTGGGGCTCACTGACAGGTGAGGCTGCTGTACACCACCAGTGGGTGGGGTGGTGTCTGGCCCAAGGGCACAACAGCAGGCCCCTGCAGCGAGACGGGATTGATCCTACAACCCGTTCTACCTCCTGATGTACTCTCTATAAACACCTAGATGTTGGCGTCAGGGAAATGGCCTTTTCATACATCTCAGTTGCCATGGTTACCTGTAATGCTACTGATCAACTGGCTATGTAAAT